ATAGGATTAAAGTTTAAACTTCAAAATTAACACTTCAAAAAAAGCAGTCCTGTTTTCTCAAACAATTTCTGCTCTCTTCATCTAGTATCTCCTCCTTCTAACAAAAATTTTGAGAGATGATTTCTGCTGCCGCGACCGCAATTGCAGTCTAGCCCAACAAGTTCGGCAATTTCCTTCTTCCTCCAGTTTTTTTGTCCAGCTGTTTTTCTTTTTCGGTTAGATTTGATAATAACATCTAATGTGGGTCTTGTCTGTATATATTATCTATTTATGTACAAATAAATAATAGATGTGGACGTATTTATGTGATATTCTAAAAGCCAGTGTCTTTTTGTCTCCTTATCCGTTTCCTCTTTTTCACCATGAAACTTTCTTATTCTGAAGTTCTTTCTAAAATGATTGCACTCATTTTCCGCTCTGAAGTGGGTCCCAGTTTTGAGTTTTCAGCAGATTTATGACGACACGTTTGATAGTAAAAAGTCTGCCTGCAAATTGCACGGAGGCCAGCCTTAGATCGTTTTATAAGAAGTATGGAACTCTAAGCGATTGCACGCTGAAATACACTAAGGAGGGGAAATTTCGAAAATTTGCATTTATTGGCTTCGATAGCGAAGAAAATGCGAAAAGAGCGCTGCAAGAAACAGATCTTTCCTTCATGGGATCATCTCGTTTGCATGTAAGTTTCTTTTATATTGTACGAATAACTTTCCTAAGGCTCTTTGCAACAAATAATATGTCAATAGGTAGAAGAATGCAAACCATTTGGAGACGCCAATAAACCTCGCGCTTGGAGTCAGTACGCCAAAGATAGCAGGTAGGTATTTCTTCCCTCCTACATAGTTTTATATATCGTTTGTCATCTATTCCTTTTGATTTTTCGATGCTCTGCTCTTCATCTTTTGCTTTAGCTCAGCTGTTTTCCTAATAATAGGTTTCTGCCTATCGACTCTTAGTTTTTGATGGAGTGTTTACGTTCTTCTTAAGGTACAATCACCTATTTCTAGCGCTTTTAAACGAAAGCATGAAAAAGAGTTACACAATGCAAGCGAAAATGAAGGCAATGTCAAATCCGAATCTCCTAAGAAGAAGAAAATTGACCCAGAATACCGTGAATTTCTGGAGGCTCAGGGTGTCAAGGATAATGAGGTTTGTGGTGAACTAAATTGTTAATATGAGTTGAGTATGTCAGTAATAGCTAATGACCTTATTATATGCCGCAAATAAATGTTTGTCCAATTTTGATAATGCGTTTATATTTTTATTTTGCTTGAGCAGGCAAAGGTCACAACTCAAGCACCTGTTCTTGGAAGTGATGAGTTAGTCAAACTGCTGCTCGAAGGCATTACTGGTGATTTTTTTCCTAATTCGAGCTTTTTCTCATATTGACTACCCACTTTATGCAGGTGACACTAAGCTATCTCTACTTTTCACTGGTCTGCCATCTTCTATCAAGCAAAAAAACTTGAAGGAATGGCTTAGTCCCGTCCGTATCAAGGCTATGAAGGTGAAATGTTTCTTCCGCAACTAATAATTTTAGTCAGGTGAGACTGTTTATAGATTGTAACTAACGATACCTCTGCTGCAGCTTTTGTCACTTTTAATCGCCCTCCTGATGTGCGCAGAGTCCTCCAGAGAAACCAGGAATACATTGGTGGCTACAGGGTATCATGCTGCGATTAATTCATAAAGGTTTCTTTATTTTTGAATTTAGTTAACTATCACAAAAGTTAAACCAGAAGAGGAAACTACTGAAAACTTTGAACAAGAGGAGCAGCCCGTTATTAGCAGAGAGAATGAAGAGGTAAGTAATCACATGTTTGTTTAGTTATTTCTTAAAATCTGAATGCTTTTATCAATTTTCAAATTTAGGCTAGAATACGAGAAGAAATCCTAGAAACAGGGAGATTGTTCGTGCGCAATCTTCCTTTTACAACAAAAGAAGAAGATCTACATTTTTTCTTCAAAAAGTTTGGAGAAATAGCTGAAGTTCAGGTGAGCGTGTTTTTTCTTTCTCATTGTCTCTGTCATAAGCTCATTGTCAATTGTTATTTTCCATTTTCTAATATTTTTTTGTAAGCGTTTCTTCAGAATCGCTTAGAATTTTTTTGTCAGCAAATGAAAACTTTGAAATCATGGCCGTAAAATGTCATCATTCCCTCTGTCTTCACCACATTGTCTTTTATTGTTTATTACAAGCCTAGCCAATTGTGTTTTGCAATTTCAGGTCATTGTTGACAAAAAAACTGGCCAATGCAAAGGATTCGCTATAATCGACTTTGTTTTTCCCGAATCTGCTGTAGCTGCTTATTCTGCGAGTGATGGGAAAATTTTCAAGGTTAAACCTCTAAATTTGCAAAATTAAACTTTAAACTCTAAAAAATGTAACTTTTCAGGGCAGAATGCTTCACATAATCCCAGGATCCGAAAAGCGCGAGAAAAACGATAAGGATAAAGCTTCAGCTAATGAGAAAACCTCCTACAAAAAGGAAAAAATGGCAAAGATGAAAGCAAACGCGGCAAAGGTCAGCGTCTAATGAACTTCTACAATTTTGAATTTTAATTCAATTTTATAGTCGCATTCATGGAATGCGTTATTTCTTGGCCCTAACGCTATTGCCGACACCCTTGCTGAAAAGCTTGGCGTCGAAAAGGGTGATCTGCTGAACTCAGAGGGTGGTGAAAGGTAAATCAAACTCGCGATCTCCATCTTATATCGTTC